TTCTATGATTGTTTCTGCCATCAGTGATCATTATGGGTCCTTCCAACTTGAGGTACTCTGATGCTGTGATCTCTTACCTGCTAGCAGTAGTGTTTATGCAGCAATGCACTATTTAATCCATCCTGAACTTGGAGCTTTACAGTATCTTAGGATAGACAGTGAACCTGAAGCTGCTCTAAAGCAAACTGAAATTTCAATCAGGGGCTGTTTTCCTTTCTCATAACAAAAAGAAAAAGCCCTCTGTGTAAAAAGGTTAGCTGTGTGGGTATATCGAACTGAGGGCAAATGTTAATTACATCTTAACTCTGCACATCCATGTGCTTTGTTCCAGTCAAGGTATGAGCCGAGTAAGCCAAAAAATATAAGTAAATACGGCAAGATTTAAGAATGTGTTTACAGGCATTTCAAGAAAATGAGTAATTTCTTTATGGGCTGAGTGGATTCGTTATTTGAGGACTTAGTGTGAACCCCCAAATCCTGTTTCAGTCTTTTTCCCCTGAAATGTAAATCTCTTCTGTAAAGCTGTGCTGTATTATGCAATATACTTAAAATACTAATACCTGAAAGTTGCTGCAGATAGGTTTGCCTGTCTTGCACTATAGAGTTATATATGTTGGTGACATTGGCCAGTTTAATGGCTCTTTGTGGTTGCTGACCATCTTGGCATAATGAATGACTTGGAGCTCCATCTAGGGATGGCAAAGCATTAGGACAACGTTGAGTACAACTAAGGGTTCAAAGTGAAAATGTATTTTAGATAAAGCTGTGAGTCTGTCCTGAGGAACAGTGATTGGAATTATTATACTGGATTCAGGCTGGGATTTTTCTGGCAATAGAATACACAGTGTGAGAGGAAGTGTAAGTGGAGCTACAATAAATTGTCCTCGGCAGTTTGGCTGAGTACACACGTGGTGACTGCAGGTTATGACATGCCATTGCTGCTTGTCACCTGGGTTTCAGTAACAGCTCACTGTTGCTGAATTGAATAAACCCTTCTCCTCGCATGGCAACATGTCTAAAACCAAATCTTTTTGTCAAGAGGTGACATTTAAAACAGACTCTGTTGGAATTTTGCAGCATGTTTATCTTTTTATGTCTTCTTGAAGATGCACCTGTCCAGGGCTATACCCTTTTTCATCCACTTCTTAACAAGGGTTGACCCTTCATCTTCAACATTACACTTGTTGCCAAGTACTCATTCTGGAGGCAGCAAATGGAAAATTGGCCTGGAAAGAGTAAATTCCTAAATGTTTCTATAACATTTGAGGTTCAGAATGAAAGGCAGGTACACTGTTCCAAGAAAGGAAAGGACTTTACAGTAATTTGACCCAAAAAAAAAAAAAAATTAAGACCTTAAGACCTTTTTCTTTTTTCACCTCTTTGAGAGGGAATGTGGGTCCATAGTTCAGCTTTACATTGATGGCAAAAGCCCAAGTAAGTCTCCTAGGCATTTTGTCAGAGGCAGTTCTTCACTCACCCTTGTTTTTTCCCCTGTGGAAGACTCCTTTCAACTGCCCAAGACATGTATGGTGAAATACATGGGCCGATAATTTCCTCAGTCACCCCTGAGAAGGGCTGACTGCTGCAAGGACCGACCGCCACCTCGGGTGTCGCAGAGGCATCTGCAGCTGGGGTCAGATCTGCAGAACCAAAGCAGTTTCCCCAGCGGAGCCGTCTCTGGGCACACGTAGCCCTGTGACCAGCTTAGGGGTTCTCTTTGGGGCCTTCCAGGGCTTTGCAGCAGCAGAGAGCTGAGAGCACCCAGGGGATGAGGAGGAGAGAACTGGGCAGGGAGTGGCAGCGGGAGCTCTTTGGTTTCTGGCTTAGAGCGAGACCATCTCTTGCCAGAACACTAGGGACAGGAGTTATTAATTCGTAAAGCAGTATTTCTGCCTGCTTTGAAAGTGTCTTCTGAAGTTGTCTTCCAAAGGGCAGGATGTAGCAGGTGGGGAAATCTGCTTGTCAGTGAGCAAATGTGGAGTTGGTTGCCTTGAGTTTGTGGTAGGGAGAGCTTGAAGCACTTGCTCGCTGAATCCATTGACAGGGTAGGAATTTCAAGAATGATCCCAGTGCTGGGTTTTGAGTTTGGTAACCGTTAAAAAAATCCCTTCAGCGTGCAACATCTGAAAAGACAAGAAATCTAAAGTAAAAAATATTTTTATGGAGAGTAGTTGCTTTCAGTTGCCTTTTGATAAGGCATTCCCAGTGGTGGTCTGCTTTTGCCTTGTGTCGATTTCCCTCTCTCTGTCAACTAATCTAACATCATTCCTGTTTTTTCCTTTTCAGGGTCTGATGAAGACTCTGAAGAAAAACAAGACAGTGAAAAACCAGTTGTATAGCAAATATGAAGAAGCAGGTACATTCCTTTGAATAGACCCTGAATATTCCTAAAACAATTTTCTTTCCTTAGTTCCTTCCCAAATAATTTGAATAGTGGTCTAACTCTTAGGAGTTCATCATCTTTGAACCCAGTCTGTCTGTCTTGGCAACAGCCTTCAAGCAGGAAATCCTGCTAGTCTCTTGAGAGCCTGTAGTTTAGTTGGGCCCCTCTGCTGCTGAGTTTGGGTTAACCCAGGCCCTGGGGGTCTGACAGAGCTCTTGTGGAGCAGAGGGTAAAAGGCTGCAGGCTTGGGGTGGAACACCTCCAGCATTTCTTTGTTGGCTGTCCTGGAAAGGACAGCGGTAGACCAGGTGTGTAAAAGGCTCTTTTTTTTGGAAGTGAGGAAGAGAGAATCCTTTGGAGATGGCAATGTGAATGTGCTAGGTTTGCTTTTGGTTTAGGTCTAGGACAGATACACTCATCCTGAAGATTGCATGGACAGAGCTACTTCGGTATTTCTCCTCCTCCGTCTGTTTAATACTACAAACGGGTTACACTGGAGCAGCTGCGTCTTAAGGGCTTTTGTCGTGTGCTTTGGTTAACTATGAAAGACAATCTCCTTATTTTGGAAATCACTTCATTTCCTTCTGGAATTCTTTTGCCCCATGCTTTCACTTTGTGACACGTGGCAAAGCTCAAGCTAGGGGAGGCATTAAATGTTCCTGAGAGGCTGAACCTTCTGATTTGAAATCTTCCAGTGCCCG